ATTTTGTATCCCAATACGGCACGCTGTGACCGTATGTGTATTTGGAATTTGGAATTGGAATTTTGATTTGGAATTGCAATGGTAAGTGAATGTGTGGCTGCAGTTGTATTGTACCTGTGCATTAATGCAAATTATAAAAATTATTGGCTTCTTGGCTTTATAGTTATATGCTTCAATATTCTTTCTTCTCCTTTTTTTAACCCGCGAGGCGGTGGGCCTCCCGGCCACCTTCCGCGCGGTGGGGGGGGGGGCATTTTCCCCCTCCCCCGTATCTCCGAAACTACTGGACGGATCCGAAAAATTCAAACGGTGTTCGATAGCCCTGTCAAATTTGTTGAAGAAAACCAAATTTCATTGACCTAGGGGTCACCAATGACGTCACAGGTCAGGTCAAAGATAAAATGTTTCACTGTTCACGGGTCTTCTAGGGAAAGCGCTATAACACCAAGTAAAACACATTTTGTCAAAATCAGCGATAGGGAGTCAGTTGTCTAGTACCTATGTTGCTATTAGAGTTCACTGGTCATACCAGGTCAGGTCACAGGTCAGGTCACCAAGGGTCACCACATGAACCCAACTTTACTAAGGTTGTGCGATGCATGTTTTATGGCCAATTTTTCATTTCCAACTCAATTGTGTTGGTTATTAGACCATCAGGTACGGTTTAGGTCACGTTCTGGTGGAGGTCAGGTCAAGGTCAGGTCAAACAGGTAAAATTTCAAAGTTGATAGTTTTGCAGAAATGGGTATTGATTCGATGCAGCTCGTCACGGGGAGTCTAATGGTGGTCTTTGTTTTGCGCTACGAGGTCTAGAATTGCTAAAAATTGAGTTTGAAAATTTGACGTAATCAATTTTGAACAGTTTTTTTCGCTATAACTTGGCCAAAAAAGAGGTATCGATCTCAAATTTAGTATGTAGATAGTCGGCGGTAGGGACTATCACATATATTTTTTTCGAAATTCAAAAAACGTTTTGAATTTTTTGGCTTTTATATTTTTAAAAAATATACTTTTTGATTTTGGGGGCTCAAAATCCAAAAATTTCAAAAACCCGAGAAACGAGTTTTGTAGCCCTCTTGATTATAGCCCTCTTTATATTTGAAACATTTTTTCTGTGTCTCTAAAGCCGCCTGCTTCACAAAATGGCATCAGACATACCGCTCCCGCACGTCTGGGTTCAAAGCTCGCTGTTGCCCTGCAGCTGGCGTCCCTGTCGCCCTACCTCCACCCACCCCTCCCACTGCGCCGGCCAGTAGCCCCGCGGTCAACCCCTGCCCACCTCAGACCCTCCCCCTCCTCGCCTGTCAGAGAGAGCCCCTATTTGTCGATGCAGGTGTCCCGATCATCAATGGTTACACTCTAGGGGAGAGTGGGGTAAGATGCCCAGGGTGGGAAAGACGCCCCACCCCCTCTAGCGGGGAAACAAAGAATCGAACCGGGAAATTAATGTTCTTAGCGTAAAGCGGAAGCCTGCCTTGTTAACTGCACAAAAATTTGCGAAGCTCAGTTGGGCAACGGCTGGCTGGTGATTGCATGTTTTTTATTTGCTGCTTTCAAAAAATATTTTGGCGTCAAAACATTGTAAATATCAAAGAAGGTAGATAATTTTTGCGTCCCTTGCTATGGTCGTGATACATTAACATGCGTGTACTGTGTCCCAAACAGTTTGTTTCAGGGTGTAGTTTTATGGCTAACAAATTGTGCTGATTTAATGTCACTTCGGTACCTTGGGGTAAGATGCCCCCTGTCCTGATGGGGAAAGACGCCCCCCTAAATCCGTAGGCTGTCCTTCAAGCAGCCCGTCAAATCATTTATTACATACTTGTGATGAGAGACAAAAGCCGATCTGGGACTATTGAGAGTCCAGTACGGTCAGGTGCTCCCCATGCCGGTCTCTCGGCCCACACAGCGACTTTTTGGGCGGCATCTGACTCTGAGAGCCCTCACGACGGCCTCTGTGGGCCCCATTATTGGCTCAAGTGCCCCTCACGACATCCTTTGAGGGCTCCCACGTTGGCTCCACGGGCCGCACTGGCATCTGAAGTCCCCACGATGGGCTCGAGGGCCCTCAAGTATCATGAAGACCTATAAGGGCCCCACAGTGGTCTCCGAACGCCACCACGGAGGCTTGTTTGGCCACGCTGGACTATGATGGCCCTAACGATGACCTCTGAAGCCCCTTACGACTACTTTTGAGGGCCCTTACGATGACGTTTGGTGTCTAACTGCAGGCTCGCAGGGAATTCTGATTCGTTCAGGCGATTCACGTGCCTATTTATGTCAGTTATAGTGCAGGGGGCATCTTACCCAACGCCAGGGGGCGTCTTCCCCACCCTGTGGGGTAAGATGCCCCCTGTCACTTCTTCAGGAAAATGCTTAATAGCAAAAAAGTTATCATAGTTCAGGCACGAAAGTGTGATATTTTTGGAGAAAAATGATGTCGGCTTCCGTTGAAACTCCAAGTTTTGGCTTTCCGATCGTCATTTTCGAATGATATATGGCATAGTCAAACCCTGGGCATCTTTCCCCACTCTCCCCTACTGGAGGGTCCAGCAATGTCACTTTACTACGGCGTAGTACGCACGTGCGTAGGTTTACAACTCTCTGTTCAGTGGCGGTCACAGAGATTGGACTCCGGGGTGCCCCGAATGGAGTGAGTATTCCCGTTTTCGATTATAGCGAGCACTCTGTGGCAGGTGGAACTGTGACGCGTTAGAAAAAGTTGTCCAACTGAAACACGAATCTGTGTGATACTCGCTTTTGAATATGATAGGCCTCACCATTGATGATTGGTGCTAGGTTTCGTCCGATTACAGTACCTATATCCGCACATTACTTCAGCAGTGACCTGTGCCTAGCTCTTAGTAAGTATTCAGCACGGTTTGCACTGTCTGTTGATATGCCTGATCAAAATCTGATTTTTCAAAATATCATACCCTATTTTTATTTAAACATCGAAAGAAATTCATGATATTAACACGCGCACCGACGGGGGGCGGATATCCGCCCCCCCCCGAGGTTTTTCGCAAATAGCGGGAAAACGTAGCGCCGCGAAATTTGGTACGTACGACTATTCCCTCATCAATTTTACACATGGTGTGCAAGTTTGAACTTGCTACCTTTTAAAGTCAGGTCACCAGGTCACTTTCAATGACCCAACCTCAAGTCACTTTTTTGCAACTTTGTCACCGTGCCAGAGCTACAGTAGATGTCGGAGGCCTTTGAAAGTCGCAGGATGTTATTAGATCATTAGTAGCTACAATTTGTATATCTCGGAATTTTGATATCGTTGACCTAAGGTTAGGTCAATTTCGCGACCTCCCCATTATAAGTCAATGGGGGAACATCAACTCCCTGTTTTTACCACTAAAACGGGTCGGAATGGCCCCATGTACCATACATGACTTCATATACGATCAACCTTCACTACCTTGAGGTCTGTTTTGCTGTTGGGCAGCTGTAAGGTTTTTGGCCAATAACTCCGTACAGGAACAAGATACAGCCGCGTGGATGGTCTCATTGTGTTCAGCTCGTCAAGACGCATCGAATGATATACATGATGACCTCGAGGTCACGTGACCTGAGGTCAACCTTAGACCTTGACCATGAGGTCAACATATATATCCTTCGATGCGGATTGACGAGAAGATCACGATAATGCCCTTAGTTTGTTCCTATCTTGACTAGTTCGAAAGTTATTCGAGAAAAACTCTCCATATCTAGCGCCGCCATTTTGACTTTTTCGACCCCTGTGACGTCATCTTTGACCTGACTTGAAAATGACCTTAGTAAAAATTGTAGATCTTGACCGTGCGTATCCGATGCCGTTTACCACTTGTCGCTATCTTGCTTCGTTCTCGAGATCTCAGGGGGGCGGCGGTCATCCGCCCCCCCGTCGGTGCGAAGTTGGCACAGACCCCCGTCGGTGCGAGTGTTAAGGTATTTATTTAAAAAAGAGACTTGATCAGGCTTCACCAAATTAGGTCAAGTTTGGTCCATTCGCCAAATAGCCCATAGTAAAAAAAAACAGCTACTGCCAAGCAAAATAGTTTATTTTTTTAAATTGGGAACCAAGCTGTGTATCTGAATTTAAGTTGTGTATTAAAGGTAGTGTGCCAGCTTTCCTGGACCGTATGGAGTTAATGGCCCAGATAAGGAGAACCGGATTTTTAGAACTTATCCATACCTTCAAAACTCATGGAAACGTCTTAAATTCTTCAAATTTTGAGTACCCCAGTGCGAAATTCGCCCCGACGGGTTGTCGGTCGTACCCCAACCACATTTCACACCACTATGAACAATAAATGCACACACTGAAATCGCTATTACCGATATGCTCATCCAATCAAGTTTCGATAAACCCGTTCATCATCATCTCCTGCGGTTTCGAACACGCCTGTTAGGTGGCTTCTGATGCTCGTCGAGGTCGGAATTTCCAAATACGCGTGGTGCGTCGGGCCGCGCGCTCTGACTTCGGCCAAGAAAAATGCGTCAGCTGATCATTGTCATTTCTGCCACTTGCGTGTGGTGAAATGGGGTCATAACTTATAAGACGGCTTTTTCATATCAATTATTTTACATAAAATCATATTTCAAACCATAAATAATGTTCGACAGCCAAATAAAAGAAACAATACCAATACGGGCTTACAGTTTAAGGCTCGACATTGTGTTGTCTACGATTAGACAGCTGATAACTCATTCCCGTACGTCGTATGGTTGTAACACTATAATGACCTTTGCTTATTGTCACAAGTGCGCCGCATTCGCGATTGTTGCCCGGCGCCTGTTTGCAGGTGAGCCCACTACAGTTGTTATACATATCTAAAAACCGAAAAACTTTTAGGCGAAAAAGGCACTATTCCAGGCCCATTTTTGATTTTTTTTTGCGATATTAGGTAAAAACAGAAGCTTCTTATCCTAGGAAAAATAAAATGGGAAATCTTTCAAAGGTGGCACACTACCTTTAATGTAAAGCTGAACAAAGAATATGCAATTACCTTGACAGTGATGGTGAGTTTGTACAGCGGTCTGGTCTCGTAGTCCAGCTGCTTCAGAAGTCTCAGCTGACAAGCCGGCTTGTTGTCCTTTGTGGTCAAGGTCAGCTTGAACACGTCATCGTAACCCTGGTAAACGTGGTGCAGGCTGTCAATATCAGAACAATACAAACGTGAGGTACCCATAACGACAATGGGGTGCTAGAGACTGATGGAACTTGCATGTTATCAATGATGATATCTCAGTAAATTAATGACGTTACAAATTGAGTATATTCGCTTCTTGTCATCCATTCCATTTCGCTAATCCAAAATAACCACCATATTTGTTTCAAATTGTTGGTTTTAGGGAGACATGTTCATTGATACATGAAATAAAATCATTATGATTTTTTTTACAAAAGTACCCATTGAAAAGGCAACAGTAAAATTGGATATTCATTTCAACATCTTCACAACACATAAAATATATCATATTTGACATCATTTACCCGGGTATCCATGGTGTAAACGAGGCCCAGTGGCGGATCAAGGGGAGCGCAAAATGGGCATTTGCCCTCCCCAAAGCTAAATCGTTTGGGCAAGACTATCTTTTTGCCCCTCCCAAGGCATGCAGAGGTGAGAAAATCTAATACGGCGTCGATGCATATCTGGACGAAAAGCAGGACCCTCCGTGACGGCCATTCTGAAGAAAGGAGCTGACCGCTCGCTGCCGATGATTTAGGTCGGTGTGCTGATAATAGATGGATTTCCCTTAACCTTCCAGTCGGTGGGGGGGGGGCATTTTTTGCCCCCCCCCCCCTTAGTTTTTTTAAATATATCTCGAGAACCGCTGCGCCGATCGTCACCAAACTTTCAGTACCCTCCCGGGAGTAGCTAGCGCACACGGTGACCAAAAATTTTTCCAAAGGCTATGATAGGTTGGCAGCTAATGACGTCAGAGTGACGTCATTTTTGCCATTTTCGACCCCAAAAAAAGGTTTCGCGGGAAGAGCTGTCAGGCCTACAGCTTTAGAGATACATAAAAATGTTACAACTATTAAAGGTGTGGAATCAAAAGGGCTACAAAACTGCTATTTCGGTTTTTCGATTTTTTTGAATTTTGACCCCCAAAAATAAAAAATAGATTTGTTGAATTTAATAGGCGAAAAATCCAAAATGTTTTTTGAATTTCGAAAAGAAACGGTATATATGTGATAGTCCCTATCGTCTTCTATCTACATACCAAATTTGAGATCGATACCTCTTTTTTTGGCCAAGTTATAGCGAAAAAACTGTTCAAAATTGATGACGTCAAATTTTCAAACTCGATTATTAGCAATTCTAGACCTCGTAGCGCAAAACAAAGACCACCCGTGACGTGACTCCCCGTGACGAGCTGCCTCGAATCGATACCCATTGTATGCAACAAAAATCAACTTTGAAATTTGACCTTTTTTGACCAGACCTTGACCTGAACTCCATCAGAAAGTGACCTAAACCGTACCTGATGGTCTAATAAACAACACCATTGAGTTGGAAATAAAAAAAAACTGGCCATGAAACATGCATCGCATAACCTTAGTAAAGTTGGGCTCATGTGGTGACCCTTTGTGACCTTTGGTGACCTGACCTGTGACCTGACCTGGTATGACCAGTGACCTCTAATAGCAACATATGTACTAGACAACTGACGCCTTATCGCTGATTTTCGACAAAATGCGTTTTACTCGGTGTTATAGCGCTTTCCCTAGAAGCCCCGTGAACGGTGAAACATTTTATCTTCGACCTGACCTGTGACGTCATCGGTGACCCCGAGGTCAATGAAATTTGGTTTCCTTCGACAAATTTGACAGGGCTGTCGAACGCCGTTTGAATTTTCCGGATCCGCCCAGTAGTTTCGGAGATACGGGGGGCAAAAAATGCCCTCCCCCCACCGCGCGGAAGGTGGCTGGGAGGCCCACCGCCTGCCGGGTTAACCCGCGCATGACTGGGGTATTTTCCATAACACGAGTGAATGAGGGGGGCTCTCCAGAGCCCCCCCTCCTCCTATCTCCGAAACTACTGGGCCGATCGTCAAAATTAAAATAGCTCTGATAGCCCTGGAAAATTGTCGAGCGAAACCGATTTTATTTGACCTGAAGGTTACGGATGACGTCACAGGTCAGGTCAAAATGAAAATTATCGGTATTTTTGCTTGTTGACAATTTAGGCTCTGGCCGCCGACTGACTAGCTCGATCAGGGTCATTTTTGGTTTACGAACTCCATGATATATGCCTAAGATACCAGAGGGTACCGAACTTTTATTTCAATTTTTTCAGATCAAGGCCAGATCATCCTAGGTCACGAAAATTGTTCATCATGTATCGGTCACGTAGCGCATGTTTAATGGTCCATTTTGCTCGAAGATTTCGAAAATAATGTCATCTGTGTCATTTGAGGTCATTTTCAGCGGGATTTACCGGAGGTCAGGTCACTTTCGGGTCACAAAAGGTCAAATTTTGAAAAATTTTCAAACAAAAAATGTGCCTTTCAGATGCAATGTGAGCTCAGGAACACGATGGTGCCCATTATATAGCTGTACGATGTCAAAAACGTACTGAAAATGGTTTTGGAAAATATATAATTATAAAATTTTGACAATAATGCTAATAACTTGGCTTTTTGAGGATATTGGGCTTAAACTTGCTAGAGTTGTTTATCAGTGTGTGTTCTATCACATATATTCCGGTTTTTGCGAAAAATTAAAAACTTTTTGATTTTTTTTTGATTTTTTTTTTGTAATTGTAATATTTTTTGTAATTGTAATTCTATCACACATATTTTGAAAATCGAAATATTTCGAAAATTCGAGATACCAGTGTGATAGCTACGTGCATTTGTAGCCCACTGATGCCAATAAATTGGATCTAGCTTTAAAACTAAGCTCTTTAGAGCGTTTGCCGTAATTCAATATTTTGCATCAAAATCGGCCGATATGACGTCACTCTGACGTCATTTTCGGCCAAAGTATGGTGGATAGAAAATAGAAAGTTTAACACAAGGTGTCAAATTGATGCTGCTGAGGGTACCGCAAGTTTCGTGCTGATCCGTCGAACTGTTTAGAAGATATTGCCGAAAAACGGGAGGGGGCTCTGTAGAGCCCCCCGCCCCGAGTCACGCGCGGGTTAACTGAATGCATGCAGATAGTGTGGCGTTGTAAAGTCGCGTCGCTGGTCACCGATGCGCAAGAGCGGCTGAATAGGGGGTACAGGGGGTGCAGCTTCCAATACACATTTCCTCCTAAAAACGGTGATCAGGAAATGAGCGCTAATGTGGGGTCATGGATGTCCATTGTCCATTTACGGCTAGAAACGCCCTACTATGGTTTTTAGGGTCCCCACGCCGGGTACTGGCTAGTAGTGTCCCGAACCGCGTTTGGTACCTCATGGCGGCATCTGATGGCATCTGATGACCTCTGAGGGCCCTCACGTTGGCCCTAGACCCAAACCGGGTCTTAGGGCCATCTGACCTCTGACGGCCTAACGACGGCCTCTGAGTGCCCCATCACAGCCAGGCTTCGGGGGCTATGCTGACATCTGAGGACCCTGCGACGGTCTGTTGAGGGCCCTAACGATGGCTTCTGACGGCCTTATGAAGACATCTGAGGGCCCTGCCAAAGTCTCTGAGGGTCCATATGCAGACCCTCACGATGGCCGACGGCCTTTATGACTACCTATGATGGCACTTTTGATGGCTCCTGTGGGCCCTCATAAGTCATAACAACCACTGAAGGCTCTCACGACGACCTCTATGGGCCCTCACGACGGCCTAAGACCCAACGCACGCGACAAAGGCTCACGATGGCCCCTGAGGGCCCCAAAGTAGGCAGGTTCCAGGGGCCATGCTTGCCTCTGAGAGCCATGCGACGATCTCTGAGGGCCCTCTCAACAGCCTCTGGGGCCCAACAAAGGCCCCAAGGGCAGCCCCAAGGGCCCATGCCCTCTGAGGGCCCTCTGAGGAACCTCAAGAGTCACGACGACCTCTGAGGGCCCCACCGCAGGCAGGTTTTAGGGACCATGCTGGCATCTGAGCTCCGCGCAAGGATTTCAGATTGAGGGCCCTCACGACGACCTTTGAGGGCCTAATGAAAACCTCTAAGGGCATATGTAGGCTCATGAGATTCCATTCTGATTCTTAGGCCCCATGTCGGCTTGTAGAGCCACTTTATCCACTCCTGGTGCCCCCCTTTGCAGGCCTTTGATAGTCCCAACGCCGGAACTTGTGTGTTCTCTACCGCTGCCGGCTCTTAGAGCTCCACACTGCTCGGGGTTACATGATCAGAGTTAACCCTATTAGTGGCAGGCTCCTGGCTACCCCTATTAGTGGCAGGGGGGGGGGGGCTGTTTACGACCCCCCTTGATATCTCGAGATCTAACGGGCCGATTTTCAAAATTCAAACGGCATTCGATTTCGCTCAACGTGATCTACATTTCTAAAAAATAAAAATTAAAAAATGTCAATAGGGGGGGGGGGGGGGTAGAGGGGGGTAAAAACGGGCAAATTGCAGATACATTTTAGACTGTTTATCACGGCCAGGTTTCTGAACCAATCTTAACGCAACTTTTGCCGATCGATAGAGAATGAACCAGGAATTCACATGGATCCTAAAAATATGCATTTTCAAAAATCATAGGCGGATACAGATCATTGAGATTGGGGGTACACAAAAAAGTATAGTAAATAAGGTTTTTGTTGGTACTGTTTCTAAAAAGGATGGTAATGGTCTTGTTATGTTACAATTTTCTTATGAGAGAACGACTACAGTTGTATTGGTCATGCATAGGCGGTGTCAGGGCACCTATGTTGGAAGGTAAAAAATAACCCCCCTTTTTGGACGCCTGGATCCGCCTATTATAGCAAAAACGTGTCAAAAGAGGATGCACAATAACTGTATATATTATCACATGATACCTTTCATTCATTGTTCGTAAAACTGGTGCAGCATCGTGATCTTCTCCCAAATGACTCGCTTCACGAATAGGACCCCCCAATTCCCAGTGCTCTGGAGCCGCCCCTGGTAAAGTTATGAACTTGAAATTTTCAGGGAATGTGCCCAATTTAGTTTTAGGAAAAGTCAGAAAATTTCAGCATCGTAGCTTCAGCAGTTTCGGAGATATTTCCGAAAAACCTGAGGGGTGGATAAAAACAGCCCCCTGCCACTAATAGGGTTAATAAACATTACAAACGGACTACAATGGTGAGCGAATAGGAAAATCCGTTCCTGATACGCATTTACTTGCTCATGTAACCCCGGTAACTGACTATTGGGGCTCACGACTCAACAAATGTGGGTACCAAGCGCATTCTAAGAATCCCCATGCAAGTTCCACGCCGCCAGCCGAATTATTGGGCCCATACACTAGCTCTTGAGACCTGTACACGCTCCAGGGGCAAGCCTACCTCCAAGAGTTTTTCCGGCCTACCTGCCTGGAAAAGCACCAATACGTGGCTCCGGGGTCGGCGTCGGTCGCCGTACTTACCCCGGTGTTCATGGTGTAGGTCAGGGTGGCCGCGGCTCCGGGGTCGGCGTCGGTCGCCGTACTTACCCCGGTATCCATGGTATAGGTCAGGGTGGCCGTGGCTCCGGGGTCGGCGTCGGTCGCCGTACTTACCCCGGTATCCATGGTATAGGTCAGGGTGGCCGTGGCTCCGGGGTCGGCGTCGGTCGCCGTACTTACCCCCGTATCCATGGTATAGTTCAGGGTGGCCGTACCGGGGTCGGCGTCGGTCGCCGTACTTTCCCCGGTATCCATGGTATAGGTCAGGTGGCCGTGGCTCCGGGGTCGGCGTCGGTCGCCGTACTTACCCCGGTGTTCATGGTGTAGGTCAGGGTGGCTGTGGCTCCGGGGTCAGCGTCGGTCGCCGTCAGGATGAGAAGCGAGTCGTTCAGCTGGTTCTACAGCACCGATGACAGAAGAAAATAACAATTACTGCGCTGGAAAATTAATGACTAAGGCTGTTTTCAATTTCTAATTGTGTAAGGTGTTTTAAAAAGGCCCATGCGAGGTGGAAATTGATAACGCTTTTTGATTGGTAATGGCGGAACTTAAGACTTACATGGTGATCCCTTGGTTACAACATAACTTTAACTTTGATATAAATAAATATGGGACCTAAGTCCTTTGGTTAAATTATGTAATACCAACAAAGCCGATAAAAAGCTGATGATGTGATACATTTCGGCATAACTGAAAAAAAAAAACAAGAAAATACTATATCAATAGAACATGAACAAGTTGCATGCAACACATTCCGGATAAAATATCACATAGGCTATACATAATACATGTACAAACCTCTGGCACGTCCAGCGATATCTGCGATCCCTGGTCGTCAAATGTCGGGGTGTTGTCGTTGATATCGGCTACATCAATGGCAATAAATGTCTGGCTTCCTCCGTTCAGCAGCAGACTAACTGTGATAGAATCCTGGAACAGAGACAACACAGTAAGGTAATGTGGCCCAGCTCCCGCGCGGGGCTGGGGTCTCCAGCCGAACGCGCGGGGCTGGGGGTGGGTAAATTTTACCCCCCCCCCCTGTTATCTCCCGAACTAATGGTCCGATTTGGAAAATTCAAACGCCAATCGAAAGATCTCATCACGAACAACTAAAAACATGTACTTAATTTAAAGTTTGAGCCTTGAGGTCAAGGTCAAGGTCAGGTCAAGGGTACAAATTGCAAGTTTCTACAGTATCGGCCTTGCACGGTAGTTGCCGAAGAATGGACTGAGACTGATTGCCCAAAACGTGTTCTTAGGCTACCAAGACAATATTCGCTGCATACAATATCATTCAGAGGTCAAGGTCAAGGTCAGGGCAGGTCAGGTCAGGTCACCAAAAACAAAATATAGAAAAGGGCATGTGCGACACATGCTTTATGGGTCATTTTATTCATAGAATTCAATGGGCACACTCAATAGGTGATATGGACCACATCTGGATGAATTTTAGGTCGAGGTCAGGTCAAGGTCAGGTCAAGTAGGTCAAATTTTGAATTTGGTTGTTAAGGCCTAAAAAGGTGTCTATCTGATGCAGTTTTTCACGGCGAATCGAATGGTGCTATTTTTGTTTCCGTACAAGGTCTAGAACTTCTCAAAAAGTCATTTTTCAAAAAATTTGTGTGTCGTGACGTCATGAAATTTCTAATAACTCCCACATTTTTGAATCGATTCTTCTAAAAATTGGTATGTAGGTGCACATAGACCACGTCTCTGACATAAATTCCGGTTTTTTTCGATACACTCAAAATGTTTGATTTTATAATTATTTTCCCAAAAAAGTCAGTTTTTTGAAAAAAGTTTGGCCAAAATTCAAAATTTTCAAAAACCGAGATAGCCATTTGATAGACAAAGTAGGATTACGTGTAACCTTTTTGTTACGTCTTGATTCCTTTAAAAATGAAGATGTTAGCGGCGTTTGAAATTTTGCCGTTTTTTAGGCGAAAATGGCGAACATGACGTCACTAAAACGTCAATTTCTCAAAAAATTTCCGACGGATTTCGCTCAAATTTTTTTCAGGGAACGTGTCAAATTGATGTAAAAAAGGTACTGAAAGTTTGGCGGCGCTGCGCGCCGCCGTTTTTGAGTTATTGCAAAAATTCGCGAGGGTGGGTAAAATTTACCCCCCCAGCCCCGCGCGGGATAGGGGAGACCCGGGATATCATTCTGGAACAGAGACAACACAACAAGGTAATGTGGCCAAGCTATAGGGGAGACCCGGGATATCATTCTGGAACAGAGACAACACAACAAGGTAATGTGGCCAAGCTATAGGGGAGACCCGGGATATCATTCTGGAACAGAGACAACACAATAAGGTAATGTGGCCAAGCTATAGGAGAGACCCGGGATATCATTCTGGAACAGAGACAACACAATAAGGTTATGTGGCCCAGCTATAGGGGAGACCCGGGATATCATTCTGGAACAGAGACAACACAATAAGGTTATGTGGCCCAGCTATAGGGGAGACCCGGGATATCATTCTGTAACAGAGACAACACAATAAGGTAATGTGGCAAAGCTATAGGAGAGACCCGGGATATCATTCTGGAACAGAGACAACACAATAAGATAATGTGGCTAAGCTATACTTCTGTTTTTGTCTTTCATTTTCCAAAAATATGTCAGTTTTAATGATTTGTTGTATGGTGTGATTTTGGCCTTTCTTTTTTTTTGGGGGGGGGGGGGGAACAAATGGCCGAAATTACGCCTTTCTTTCCATGCACCGCCATAGGCGCAGTGCTAGAACCCGGGTCTTTTGTGGGGAGGGGGAATAAACGGGCCTGGGACTGACATGGCCCCTTTCCTCCCCCTGGATTAGCCCTTGAATTACTACTCTCCCTTTCTCGCCGGCCGACGAGGGAGGGGCCCCCCTCCATAGTTTTTTCGCATTAGCTCCGAACACGCCGGCGATAGAAGGATGAAACTTTGCATACCTGACCATTGATCCAAGCCGCATTTCGTGACACCAACCGAATTTTCAGGTCATGTCAGGTAACTGACATATGACGTCATAAGTAAACCTCTGCACGGTCCTCAAATGTCGCGAACTCGCAACGTCATCAGTGCCAGAGGAACTTATACAAGGAGATGAAACTTACAGGATGTGGTATCCTCCAGAGGTATCACAACTTGTATATCTCAGATTTTTTCTTAGCCCGCGCCCTAATGGGGGGTCATTTTGCCCTCCCCCTATGGTTTTTCTTGAATAGCGAGAAAACGCCAAATTCTGGGTACCTACTACCTTCCCTGGCATCAATTTGACACCTTCACACAAAATTTCCAGCCACAGGTCACTTTGGGTCAGGAGTTATTGAGGTCAAACTGAGGTCATGTTCGAGTAAAAATGGGCAAAAAACATGACACCTTGAAACGCTCACTAAACCTACAGTTAAACATTTATTAAGTTCTTTATGTGGTTGTGTAGAGAAAAGACGGCGCTACAAAACTACTGTCTCAGATTTTCCAAATTTCCAACTGTAAACGGTGAAAATTGGACCTTTGACCTGACCTGTGACGTCATTGGTTAGACCGAGGTCAATTAAAATGAGTCACAAGGTAGTTCCCCGTTGGGGCCATCCAACGCCATTTGCCGCTTGTCGCTATGTTGCGTGGTTCTCGAAATCTTGGGGGGAGGGGCAAAATGGCTCCCCGTCATCAGACCGCGTTGCTCGGCAGACCCCATCAGGGCGCGGGTTAACCCTATTCCTGGCGGGCTCCGCCGGGACAAGAAACTAGCGGGGGGGCCGATTCGGCCCCCCTTCAGATCTCAAAAACTACACATCGCAGCGACAAACGAAAAACGGCATCGGATACGCACGGTCAAGATCTACAATTTTTACTAAGGTCATTTTCAGGTCAGGTCAAAGGTGACGTCACAGGGGTCGAAAAACTCAAAATGGCGGCGTTAGATACGGAGAGTTTTTCTCGAATAACTTTCGAGTTAGTCAAGATAGGAACAAACTAAGGGCATCGTCGTGATCCTCTCGTCAATCCGCATCGAATGATATATATGTTGACCTCGAAGGGTCAAGGTCAAAGGCTGACCTCAGGTCACGTGACCTCGAGGTCATCATGTATATCATTCGATGCGTCTTGACGAGCTGAACACAATGAGACCATCCACGCGTCTGTATCTTGTTCCTGTACGGAGTTATTGGCCAAAAACCTTTGGTGACCTTTGATGACGTCACATGACCTCACAGCTGCCCAACAGCAAAACAGACCTCAAGGTAGTGAAGGTTGATCGTATATGAAGTCATGTATGGTATATGGGGCCATTCCGACCCGTTTTAGTGGTAAAAACAGGGAGTTGATTTTTCCCCCATTGACTTATAATGGGGAGGTCGCGAAACTGACCTGACCTTAGGTCACCGATATCAAAATTCCGAGATATACAAATTGCACATACTGGTACCCTAACTAAAGCCTGAAGAGAAGAAATTGATCGGTCAAAAACTCTAGCTCTGGCGTGATTGCAAACTTTTCTGAGGTAGGGCCACCAAACCGCCTCTGGTGACCTGACCTGAGGTCAGATCAACTCAAAATTTTCAGACATGTTGCGTAGAAGCCTTTTAGGAAAAGTCAGAAAATTTGAGCTTCCTAGCTCAACGCGTTTGGGAGAAATAACCAAAAAACCTCAGGGGGGCTCCTGAGGCCCCCGCCAGGAATAGGGTTAAGGTTACATGAGGTCAGGTCTGTCATGTGACCTCACCATTTTAAAGGGACCCTCCCACCTTTAAAAAAGTTTATGAATTGGCATGAAAGTGATGTCGCTCGGTTCAGAAAGAGCGAAAACGAATATCTACCAAATTTCACCGAAAAATATTCACCGGTTTTCAAGATATTAGACTTTTACTTTTGTTTACTTTTTGGGATCTCCGCTGTTCCTAGCGACTTTATTTAAAAGTGCGGCATTTGTTGCGCGCAACGCAGCATATACCACCGCGTGCTACAAAACGTTTTAGTCAAACGTTTAACGGACGTCGAAAGCCTGATGACGTCATCAGATTTAAGTGCCTATACCAATACACTGTGGCACTTATTTGCACATATGTCAAAATCAAACTCAAATTTCTTTGCGATGAAGTAATTGCTGGAGAAACGGTTTTCACGGCACTGATTTTCAAAGAACGTCCATCAAGATGGCTATCTCAACTCAAATCTAATGTTAAGGTGGGACAGTCCCTTTAAGTCAAAGGGGAAAATCGAGAACTGCTATTTTAGCGCCGGGAACGATCTCAGACTATCTCAAGTACTCAGATTCGTGATTTCTTGCACTCATTGTAAGGTCCAATGCTTCATTTTTGCATTGTTGACCTTGCGTGACGTCATTTATGACATCACTTGGGTCATAAGTTTTTCGTCAATAAATTCCGGTCAAATCGAGCTAGCGAGTCGGAAAAGCCACCAATGGACTCAGGAAGACCTGCCGAATCAAATGATATGCGACATAACCTCCCGTGACTAGCTTCGTGACCTGGGAGGCGCTGACCTGTCACCTGACCTCATCAGTCATCCGAGTTCAACATCTGAACGTGACAGCAACCAAACAAAAAGTTTACCCTTCGACGTGCCTGAGCAAGACCAACACGATGATGCCCAAATCGCGGCCCTGCGACCATTTGTTGTGAAGTTATTATTAACCCGCGCGGGGCTGGGGGGGTAAATTTTACCCCCCCTCGCGAATTTTTGCGATATCTCAAAAACGGCGGCGCGCAGCGCCGCCAAACTTTCAGTACCTTTTCTTACATCAATTTGACACGTTCCCTGAAAATTTGAGCGAAATCCGTCGGAAAATTTTTGAGAAATTGACGTTTTAGTGACGTCATGTTCGTCATTTTCGCCTCAAAAACGGCAAAAGTTCAAACGCCGCTAACATCTTCATTTTTAAAGGAATCAAGACGTAACAAAAAAGGTTATACGT